ATTGACGTTCCAAAACACGTCAGTGGCATGTTGTATGCTGCGACGACCTTGCCAGCAACGTGCCATGACACGCCATGCGACAAGGGCAGGACAACTCGTCCATGTCATGACGATTGGGCGTGGTCGAGAAGCAGAATAGCCAGTGCCAGCGCCAATCGTTTCATGTATTTAGTCAGTAAGCCCAAGTAATTTGCTGATAATATCTTTCAATTTCACCTATCGATGTTCCTGCTCTGCCAGGTAATGAAGATGTGTGTATGTGACATCCGGACGAGTTATCAGGTTCGGAATACATGACGCACAACATGCACGGACAAGTAATGGTAATGCGATCGTGCCACGCAACTGCTTCCCGATGCTCTCCTTGTCGTTAACGTGTTATGTGACAAGTCATCCCCTGGGTCCTAGGTAGCGGACCTGTGCTACACCTGCACCTGTGGTTGTTTAGAGCGTTTTGGAAACGCTGACTCGCTTGGTCTTACTAAATAGTGAAGCTACCATGGGTGGTAGTTAGGCAGCGTTCAGACTTCGCAGTGCGTTGACGCGCTGTAGCGCGGTGCGCGCGTCGACGCGCTACCATTGCAACAACGATCCAGATAGAAACGCAGCCGCAGACGGGTATCGATCGGCGCCGGCCGCCACTGCTTGGAGAGAATGGAAGAACAAGACGGTACGCGCTGCTCAGTCGGTCTACGGACAACTTGAACTTAATCCCTTTGAACGCGTCGATCTTCTCTTTTTCTCTGCACTCTCTCGTCCGCATGGCACTCTATGGCCGTTGTGACTTCGCTCACTCCAGCTTTTCACCGACTGTAAGTAGCTCACCCACCCCGGAGTCCCCTCCCTTGAAAAATCCCGTTTCCTGCTCGCCATACGTTTTTTGCACGTTTCGAAGCTTTGGCAGCCGCTGCCCTCTATCCGTCTGCGTCACAGGGTTTCGTAACAGGACCATGCACAAAAGTTCAAGATGTCACGTAACCCTGCTCAGTCACACGATCTGGTACACTCCTATTCTTCTATGCTCTCTCGAAACACTGGCGCACGGCTCCGATCGATACGCAGTGCGCTGACGCGCGTTACATTGCGTCATCGCGCGTCAACGTAGGTCATTGCAAAGTCTGAACGCTCTATTAACATTGCAGGTGAAGTAATTCGATGGTAGTTTCAAACTAGAGGTAGAGTTCACTGTCTGCTTATTTATTGACTTATTCTACATGCTCCAAGGAATACTCTCAGATACGGTGACCGTGAAAGTTGTGCTAAAAACCTGAGAGTTGGTGATATAGTGGAACGTCACCTTGATAATGGTGATTTTGTGCTGTTCAATCGTCAACCGTCTCTCCACAAAGTCTCCATAATGTGTCATCGGGTGAGAGTCATGCCCGGAAGAACATTCAGGTGAGTTGTAGAGACCAAACTATAACCTTAGGGAAACGGAAGGGATACAGTACCCCACTTTGCGCGTAAAATTGAGTGCGCGTATAACTGAGTGCGAAGGAGCAGCAATTGCACACAACACCACTTAAATTTCGCCTGGGTGGAAAGCGAGTAAGCGTCGCTGTCGCTTCTTGGCCTCCCCAGAAGCATGGGTAATTGAACCGACGTACGGTACGCCCACTGTGTGCACCCACAGGGATGACACATTGAATTCCACGCGCAATATTCGGGGGTACTGTACCTCACTGTTTTCGTTCACTTACATTATTGTGCAATATAGCCCTGAGATTGTTTTATTTTCTTGCCAAGTGATTTTTAGGTTCAATGAATGTGTTTGTACCCCGTACAATGCTGATTTTGATGGTGACGAAATGAATTTGCACGTGCCTCAAACCGCAAGAAGCGCGGGCAGAGGCCAGCCTACTAATGGGCGTGAAGAGCAACCTTGTTAGTCCAAGATCTGGCGAGCTGGTGGTGGCTGCCATTCAGGTATCATTGATGTGTTTGCTCTGTGCAACCTGTCCAACTTTTCGTGATTGTAATTTTCTTGTCGACAGGACTTCATCACGGGCGCGTACCTAATGACACACAAGGACACCTTTCTTGATCACAGTGAGGTAAGGTTGATGGACATTAAGTTTCGATAGGAAGCCTTTCAAAGTTTTCGAAGAAGAACGTGACTCCATGGTAGTTAAAAGATATGTCTTGGATTTTTTCATTTTGATAGACAGTCCACGCTGATCATATGGGTAGAATGGACGAGTTGCACGAGTTTGCCGGTGTTTGGACGATTTTTCGCAATTGCTAGCTTCACGCCGGCAGATCAATATCGGATGGTGCCTTTCTCATCGGCGCGCCTCTCCTCTTACCCGTCTCAAAGGCGCGCCTCCTTCGTTATCAGCCTGAAAAGAATTGGGATACAAATGAAACATTGGTGAAGAAAATCGCTGGGGACGCCCTCGATAAGATCCCTCTGTCTTCGGGTAGTGTACAAGGTTTCCTGTATTCGGACGAGCTTCCGGGAGTGGTAGCTTCACGCAACAGATCGATAGCGCTATCATCTTCACAGTGTTTATTAGGAAGCCCGATGTGACCAGTCACAATTGGTGGTTGCCTGTAAAATGTGAAATTTTTCTTCTCGTGTATGTCTCCACGGAAAGTGCAAAAAAAATGATTTGCTGACTGTGTTGTGAACTAAAGTGCAGTGGTTGCAATATACAGAAGAGCGCCGAAAGTGACCGCATCGGAACACTGGCGATTGTGAGGTGTTCGGAGCCAGGCGAGTTGGGCGGAAGACGCCCTCCGTCACGAGCTCTTAGCGCCCTTACCAAGAATTTTCGCGTGACGAAAAGGCACAGCCTAGTTACCTGCGGACCTTCGCACACTATATGAAAGTAGGGATGAGGTAAAGAGAGTCTACCTTCTAGGTAACCGTACACTGTATTCTTTGAATAGCTGAGCAACGTTCTCAGGTCTGTCGCTTAGCTGCATCTATCATGGATCACGCTGCCGCAAAACAAACGCGGCTTCCACTTACCAACACCTGCTATTGTGAAACCAGTCAAGCTCTGGACTGGAAAACAGGTTTTCTATTTCATGGTGATTTTTAGAGGTCTCGGAATGCTACCATCTCCTTTTACAGCTGATGGATCTGGTTATTTCCAATGATCTCAAGAATCCAGTCAAACTCAATTTATCTGCACCCAACAAAAGTTACACCACTGGAAGAGAACTTTGTCCCAAGGTTTCTCTGGTGCTTTCTTTGGATAATCTGCAGCTTATATAATCGTTATCCAATTTGAAGGATTCGTTTGTTATAATTCGAAATGGAAGACTGATGTGTGGTGTATTGGATAAATCACTACTTGGAACTGGCACAAAAACGAACATTTTCTACATCCTGCTCCGAGATTTTGGTGAAGATGTTGCAGTCGATGCACTGTTCGTTCTTTTCTATTTGGGCCGTTATCACCGAAATCAGTCGGGGCATCTCAGTGGTGCGCGGGTTTTGTCACTGTGCCAGCCCCTTCCCCACCATTAAATGAACACCCGAAGCCGCAATGATTGCTAGAAATGGGCTGGCGCTTCGCCACACCCATGCCCCGCTGACATGACCCGGCTGACTCCAGTAATAATGATTGTTGTATTCTGTGCTACATTGAAAACGTTAGGCTGCGTTCATACTTTGCGGCAGCGTCTGGGAACGTCAGCGACTAGGAAATATAGATATCGATCTAGCGTCTGCCAGCGTCTACCGGCGACCAGCAGCAGACTGCTGGTAGATAGTATGGGCGATAGGAGGTTATCAGCTGCCATCTACCCGCCTATCTCCTCATACTCTCTGCTACCCTCCTATCTCCCCATACTCTACCAGCTGTCTGCTACCGTCCTATCGCCCCATCGCTCTATTCCCGGACACTGCTGGTTGTTGGTAGGCGCTGGCAGACGCTGGATCGATACCCATATTCTGGCAGCGTTCCGAGCGTCTGGCAGTCACTGACGCTGCCGCAAAGTACGAACGCAACTTTCAACGCATTCTCCTCAGCTTTTCCCGTTTCGTGTGCACTATACATCCCCCCTTTGCATGACGCTGTCGTTCGAGGGGGGGTAGCAACCTGGAAATTTCTCTGGAAAACTGGGAAAAGCTGTGAGAACTTGAGAGAATTTAGCGAAGACCGAGAAACGGGAGAGGAGGGGCATCGTATTGGAAGCTTCACGCATGCCGTTGAGCGTTTGGTAAAGGAAAACGTGGAGGAAATGTTTGCAACACGGTTTCGGACCAAATATTTTCCTTTTTTCTATCAAATAGAATCGGAGCTATCTCTGGCAATATTTCAAGGTGGCGATTATGCCGGATGACATCCACTTTTCTCACAAATCGCGGATTTTCTATAGGAATTGGTGATGTTCAGCTTGGATCGCAGCTGCTCAAGGAGAAAGCACTGCTGCTGCGTGAAGGTACTATTTACCAGATTACTTTCTTTTGACTTTTTATAAAATAAGTGGTCTACTTTAAGGATATGAGAAGTGCCAAGGGTACATAGATCAACTCAAATCGAGACAGCTCAGGGCTCAACCTGGCTGCACCATGGAAGAGACTCTTGAGGCATTGATCCTTCGAGAGCTCTCTTCGATTCGCGATAAAGCCGGGAGGGCATGCGTAGAGAGCTTGTCGAAGTAAGTCTCTGGGAAAAATGGCCTCAGAGAGACTGGTAACCTAAACGCTAAGCATAGCAGCTCAGAATGGGGTTAGGCCTCGGACCGCAGATCCTCCCCAACTGGCCTCACCCCGCGTCGTTGCGGGTGTTGAGTTGCAATTTTCCCTGCTCAAAAAGGTGGGCAACTTCTCGAAGCATTGTAGAGTGTTAGGCAAGCTAGGCAGGTTCCGGGGCTATGATCTCCAACCATTCCTCCAATTTTCGGGCTCAAGTGCTGGGCGCTTACGTTGCCATTTCCTCTCACTCATCCTGAGAGCATATTCATACTTGATGATCCGTTCGTTTGAATCGCGCAATTATCGCGCGATCGGATCGCGAAGTGTGAACGCGCTCTGGAGGAGAAGCTAGAGTTTTCAGTCTGTTACTCAACGGTTCAGGCATAATTCTCCCCTGATCATGGCAGTTAGCGGCTCTAAAGGATCTTTGATAAATATATCGCAGATGATCGCCTGCGTAGGACAGCAAGCTATTTCTGGTAATCGTCCGCCGGATGGATTTGATGTGAGCGATTCCCTTTTGACTTGACTTTTTGGGACACAGAGGTTCGATTCCTTTCCAGAAACGTTCCTTACCGCACTTTGAGAGGTCGCAAAAGACTCCAAAAGCTAAAGGATTCGTGGAGAACAGCTTTTACACAGGCCTGACCCCCACTGAATTTTTCTTTCACTCAATGGCCGGTCGTGAGGGGCTTGTCGATACGGCAGTGAAGACGGCTGAAACGGGATACATGCAGCGACGGCTGGTGAAATGCCTTGAGGTGGGCTTTCGGAGTAAAGTGCCCTGAACAACCAAATGAGTTCTTTTGAAGGATCTCTGCGTGAACTATGACGGCACTGTACGCACTTCTAACGGCGATGTTATTGCGTTCGCTTTCGGAGAGGATGGGTTAGGTTAGTTTGGACTTGTTTTTTACTCCTCAACTTGCTGTGGGCCGTTCGGCTTGGTGGGGACATTTTTCTGGCAGTCATTAACCACAGCGGTGATCTCCCGTGAACATGTGCGCGCCATAGCAGAAGCTCTTCGTTTACTCCGACAAAACTCTTCAATTGAAAGGTTTGATTCTGTACAGAACTAGCAAGCAAACTAGTGAATGGTGGGTCAAGATGCTTCTCCTCTGTGGAGGTGCGAGGTGTGAATGAGTCACACAGGGATATACATGTGACAAAGTAGCCTGTACAAGCTCAGCTGAGTACCATTCGATACCCCCCCCAAGCCGAACTGCCCCCAGAACTCATTAGTTCAACAGTTTGTACTTTCTTTCCGTAGACCCTGCACTGATGGAAGCCAGCGATGGCCACGTCGTCAACTTCGCCCATCAGTTGGAGCATGTTCGGAACACTCTTCCATTCAGCAACGATGAGGACCTGAATCGGAATGAAATGGAGGTGCAGTTGTAGTTACAGTATTATGTATGAAATATTCTGGGGCAAAGATCGCGAGGTCACTACGCGACGTCGCGCATATCTCAGCGCGCGGTGTCCGCGCCAGTTGATTCGTCACCCCTTCGCCTCCCAGTTGATCAGAATGCATGCCATCTCGCCGTTATTGCGTCTTCGCCCATCCTCATGTTAATCGAAGGTCCGAAGCTAGTTGTCGCGCGCGACACGCGCAACTGAGCGCGACCTCCACGTGACCTTTTGCTGCAGACCACTGCTGTGCTTAAAGGCAGTTGGCATGATAAATCTCCAACACATGTAGGGCTGACACGCCTAGCAGGACAATTCGGATCCCCTGAGCAAGCTCTGCGTGACGCGTCTCTCGAGAAAGGTGCCCTTATAGCGCCCTATCAAGCTGCAATATACCGACCCGGACGCCCACCGCGCCCGCCCGCCCACAAATGTCCGACCGATGCTGATGCTCGTATCGCTTCATTTGCGAAGTACAATATGAAGCGAAGGGATTGATATGAAGCAGCTGCACGAATATATGAGAACATACGTGCAGCCGTACCTACCGTAGCGGTTATTGGCACGATGCCAACGGGGAACTCGTCCGAAATTGCTCTGAGTCGTGTAGAACAGAGGCTTTTTTTGTATGTTTTACCGTTTCACTTCGTTTTTCGCCACATTCCCATTATTTAGCATCTCTGCGGCCATTTTGGACAGAGTACCAAATTATAGTGCCTTTGTTACCCTCTGTTGGAGTAAACCACGACTGTATTGACCAAATCTTTCATTGTTCGATTTGGATAGTTAGTTTTGTCAGGTCAAAATTATT